TTTGTTCACGGTAGATCCACAGCAGTTCCAGGGGACAGCCAGATCCCTCATAACAGCACAGGGGCTCACAATAGCAAAGGTATTGAAAGTCCTGGCTCCTGCTGACTCCAGCAGCTGTTTTGTGAGAATGCACACATAAACACCTCTGAAGTTCTGGACTTAGCACTGATTGGAAACCTACGCCCTGAGCAATCAACCCAATCCGGCTCCCAGACAATGAAGCAGAATGAAATAAACGTTGGAGCAGCAAAAACAAAATGTGTGTGCATGATTCATCTGGCTCAGCCCCATCTCCATCCCCATTACTGGCATTGTGACCAGCTGCTGGTGGCCAGGAGGCACTCGGGAAGCGAGCACCTCTTAGCAGGGCTCTGCACCCACTGGAACTCGGGGCAGGACACAAGGTACCTGGCTGCTGTCTTGTGCTGAGCACCTTCCCCAACCCTCCGACCCATTGATCACTTGGCCCAGAGACAGGCAAGAGGCATACAAGGAGTTGAGGCTGGATTTTTGTCCCTGGAGGCAGGCAGTCCTCGGTGCTCAAGCAGCTGAGCTGATCACAAGCTAGATGGAAGCACGTGCACCACCAAGACTCCAGGTGGAATCACCACAACCCCTCAATTTTGTGAAGTATAAAAAATGAGTGTGATGTTTGGCATCTCCTGCTCTAAGCAGAGAGGGGGAAGTTTAGGCCACAAAGAAATCAACACGTTTTGTACGAAGGTTATTTTTTTCCCTGCCTTTAAATTCTCCTGGAAGACAGCCACCTCCCTCCAAATGCTCTCCAGTAGCCAGACACCACAGGTACTACAGTTTAAGTCAAAGAAAGAACATTTTGAAGGACCCAGAAGAGATGTTAAGAAAGTGGGCATAGAAATTGCAATGGATATTGAGTCAAAAATGTCACTACATGCAATTTTTACAGTGTGTACACATATGCATATGAGTGGGGGGTTTTTTGTGTGTGTGAACTCCTCCTGCAATAATGAGCTCATGCGTGAGCTACCCCTCCTAGGGTCAGTAAGGAGTAGGTAGAATACATGTGTGCGTGTGACCACTACAGCAGTTTCTTTCCCAATAAACCTCTATTCCAGGGACTTTTATGAAACCTGTTGCCTGTGCTTTGCTAAGCGCTGCAAAACAGCTAGTAAGAACATGCTGGCATTGGCAGCGATAAGTGAGGTCCCTCACTCTCTGCAAGAGCCCAAGCTCTAGCCAATGGTGCTCTCTAAGTACCAACACCAGGTGCAGGCCTGACTAGATCCAATTCTGCTTTTTGATATTAGCAAGGACAGACATTGCCAGAGGTAAAGGCAAGGGGGAGAGGAGATGTTTGCAAAGAAAGCTGCAGTATCTGCAAAGTTGTTTTTAAAAAGTTTCAGATAAAGTAGTATTCTGGCAAAAATCCTGCTCTGCAGAGTTGGGCTCTGCATTGCTCATGGACTGCTGAGGAAATTTAATAAAGAGAAGGAAAAAGCACCTGTTTAAACAAAGGTGCAGAAGGAGGGAGAAAGTGACACCTGGAAGGAAGCCAGCCTCAGCACAGCCACTTCTGGCACTGCATAGGGCATTGGTAACACCTAACTGCTGTGCTGAATTTATGCATTCATTCTGTTCCTGTTAGCCTGCACGTGAAGCATGGAGCAGTCTTTCAGCAGCCTGCCTTGCTGACAGATCTCCTTGGTGTGTTATGGAGAGTGTTCGCTCTTAACCAAAATAACTTGTAATGCTTGTGTCTCTGCCTCACAGAGAGGACTTGCTGAGACTTCAGGGTTATTCTGGAACTTCAAAGTTGAAATTTAAGCACGCTTTCCAAATCTCGCCCTTTAAACCATCCCAAATCCCAGCCTTGCTGCAGGGTCTGGTCTGCAGAACTTGCACGTTGTAGCCAAATCCAGACCCTCAACTCCCACCCCCCTCACAGACCTTCCACTCCTAAGCCTGACTTTGCGCTCAGCCATCACACTCTCACAGCCAGCTCCAGCGAGGGTCTGTGGAGACCTACCTCTCTATACAGGGGCATAGCACTGCCAAGCTTGAAGATCCCAGATCACAAGCTGGAGTTCCTTAAATCATGAGGTTTGATTTTAAAAAGCAGTGATGAGTGTTGAATTTTCACATACGCTTTTGTTTTTGAATTGCCCTTGCATCTCCTTGTCATGTGACAAAGACCCTGTTCACTCTCCAGTAGCTCATTAGGGGGGAGGATTCAACCCTGAGGCAGCATCCCTGCCTGACAACTCATGTTTGAATTGTCCTGTGCAAGATCCAGCTTCACAGGAGTGCATAAACTAAAATTACTCCCCTCCCTCTTTCTATGCTAGGAGGACAGAAGCTAATCTGCGAGATACACAGCAGGGTAGATTTACTTTAAATCTGTGTAAAGTGCAGAATCAGCCAAGGCCTTATTGCTCAGCTACATCTATGCGCAGTAGATGATGCTCAGTGGGATCAGTCTCCATACAGGGCTAGGAGTCCTCACCCCATACTGATGGCTGCACAACACCGCTGGAGTGGAGTCTGGTGCTGGAAGAAATGAATGCCAGGTGCACGGTTCAGCTACTGTCTCTCTACAAGAGTTTGCTTCTATTCTCTCCTTCAAGGTAATCCTCTGTCACGGAGTCCAAACACACACCACAGTATCCAGATTTGTGATTTATATTTTATTTTCATCCTTTTTACAAGCAAGAAAATCCCTGGATTAAACCAATCAGAATTAATCAGACACCCCAAAGAATTAACCAGGAAATTGCTGTCAGGATAGCAGGATGGCTTGGGCTGCGTTTAGTCCTGAAATCCAACTTGAGATTTGCCCACTGAGATGTGACTTTCCAGGTGACACATGCCCCATCATACCAGAAGCAATAATGCAGCAGCCCTGCTGTCCTACGGCATCTCGCACTAGTGGGATCCCTGTGGGCTGAAACAGTGGACAGTAAAGGAGCAGACCAAGTCCCTGGAGAAATGAGAGCAGGAAAAGGGAGTAGCCCAGAGAGAAAATAATATGACCCAAACTATTAACTCTGGGATGCTAACAGCTAAGGAGCCCTGGCTCTTACTAAGGACTCTAAAGAAAGTGTTTCTCTGGTCTGATGTAGTGCCCTTGTTTTATCTCAGCCCTTCCCCAGGAAGAGGTGGGACTCTCCATACACAAACAGTGTAAGCTGAAACTAGTACCATGAATTCTGCTTGGAAGTTCTTCTGGAACAGTGCAAACCATCTATAAGCACTGTCACTCAGCTGGCAGGCAGTCCCATGCACTATACCAGCCCAAACAGCCCTGCAGAGAGTCCCAGAAAATGTGCATGACTAGTCCTTCACAGCATGGCCACATGTTAAACACTTCACGTCCTGCCTACAGGGCAATCCAGCGAAGACTACATTACAAAGTCCAGAAAACAGAGGGCAGAGACTAAAGTCCCTGGAGGCCTAGGGAATTCCAGATATAGTCCTAGATGAAGGGAACACACTGAATCAGAGATACACAGGGCTCCTCTGGGACAGAGAGAGGTGGCTGGGTTGCAGAGGAAACATCACAAGGCTGCTAGGTCTGTACAGGGGCTGAGTAAGGGACTCACACCTACCTCAGATGCAGAAGACATTATAATCAGCCAGGGCCTGCTCCTCTGCAACAGGACAGGAGACACCTAAGTTATCCTTGCACAGAGCCAAGTGCAATCACCCAGATAGCCCTGGCACCCCATGGTTCCACACCCACCTGGATGGTAGTAGTCATAGACCCTGACATGGCCTGGCTTCAGGTTGGTCACCCCAATCTCCCGCTCCAGATGCAGGACATATGTCTCAGACTTATGGCTCAGCTGGGGAAGAAGAGCAAATGACAGTTCACTTACAAGCTGTTCTTTTTATTCCTCGCCTAAATTTGATCCTACTGATAGGCAATAACTCTGTGGAGTCAAAGGCAGGACTTTGGCAGATGAATGTTGAATATCCTGCTCTGCTAGCCCAGCAATGGATTCCCCGCACAACTCTGGCACTGTCCTCCACTCCTGCAGCTTCTCTAGTAGCACACACATACCTTATCCAAGTAGATGGCAACACCTCCTTGTGTTTTCTCAGTTCTTCTCACAGGGTGCCAATGCTGCATCTAGGACAGGAGAGCAGAGGAAGAAATTCAGTTGGGTCTTTTGAAAAGCAAGTGTGAAACATCCCAACAAGGTTTATCTAAGCTTGAGTGGGAAGGCGCTCGTTCACTCACTTCCAAACTTATTTTGGGTTCTTAGCCCTTCAGGCTGATCTCCCTGCAGGGCCACTCAGCTCCTGCAAAACCCAAGGACAGGAACCTAGGCTACTTAGCTGTCCAGGATATCCTGAGCAAATTGGGCCAGAAGGATCACCATCCTCAAGGCAAAAAGAGAGAGCCGACAGTATGTGTTCATGTTTGTTGTGTGGCAGAGGAGAAGGGATGGTGAGACCGCTGAAGAGAGAGACAGGTAACACCTTCCTATGCAACCTCCCCCTCTCCTTGGGCATGGATGGTCCTACTGACACTACATCACCATCCTGATTCCAGGCTTCTTACAGACATCCCGGATCCTGGAGCCAGGACAAATCCAGACAGTAGGGACACCTCCACAATCACCATGTTGGAAGTGGATTTCTTCCCAGTGTACCTGGGGGACAAGATAAAAAAGAGAGTCTCTCCCAGCTTCCCCTTCCCTCCTCCACCATACCCTGTGTGCAGAACCTTGAGCCAGGCAGCCCAGCGAGGACCAGGGCCAAGGCAGTCACTGCTCCCTCTCACAGAGGGCAGATGATGGCTGCACTGCTCTGAGCATCCCCAGTCTGAGGTGACTACTTGCATTCCTCTCCCTAGCAAGAACCAAAGCCCTCAGAAACATTTCCCCTTCCCCAGAGACATTTGTATCTTTCCTTCTCCATCTTCCATCTGGACCTTCTGCTGAAACTGCCTGGTGCCTCCATTGCAGCCAAGAAGCACCCTCAGCTCTCCAGCCATGCCTGGCTTTCCTTCCCAGGTGGAGCTGTGTCTTTAGAGTCACCTGACATTGACATAGACAGTAACAGAGTGTGTATCGTCCTCGGTGCAATTGACTGGCTCAGTTTTCACTTGCAAGGCAAAGGATGTGGAGACCTGTGGGGAGGGCGTGTTGTATCTCAGCACCATCTGCAGGGAGAGACAAAAAGACAGAATAAGACATGGATAATTAGTTCAATATCATCTATCATATCTTTTTCTCACTGACTACTCTAATCCTCAAGACATGGACCCCATACAGTGACTGGATAAACCGTATACAGTGAGCACACTCATCCCAGTACCCAAAATAAAGGTCACTGCTATGATCCTTCCAGCTGGGCCTCCTTCTTCTCACCTTTTCCCTTGACACTGTGCAAGTCAGGCACACAGCAGTGGGACCACTAAACATTTCCATCCTCCAACACCCTGAGAGCCATGGAAGTATCACTGTCCTCACATTTGGACACGTTCTGTCTCTGAGTCTCCTACAGCACACAGGCTTATTGCATTGGCAACAGGCTGGGATTAAAGCTCAGTTAATGCACATTTCCTTGCATAGAGCTGCAACGAAGACTTTTGGTTTTGATAAGATGATGAGCAGAGGGTTGTCACAGCAGGGTCTGTGGGAACCTACCCGGGTAAAGACACAACAGCTGCCATGGGCCTGCACCAAGAACTTTCCCGGAACTTCTGTCAGTGCTGCCTCCTGCACCAATAGCCGGTTTTGGTAGGAGACTTGGAACTTCCTCCCAAAGCCTCTCTGGGACCTCACCCTCACTTCTGCAACCCCTTTCGTGCTGTATGTCAGCGCTGCATACTTAGCCAAGGCCTGCAAGGCTACTACTGTGTCCTGAAAAGGAAGAAACAATTACATTTGCAGCTCTGAGACCCAAAGACACTTGAACTCGCTGTCCTGAGGACCTCCATATACATGGGCTCCTCTCCTCAAAGCATTCGCACCTGCATAAATTGTGCATAGATTGTGCAGAGGTTTTCTCAAGCAATATCCCCTTCGCTGGCCACGAGTTACCTGTGTTGAGGCAAACCCTCCATAGGCATTCTGCTGCCTGGTGAGCCAGGCCACGATGCCAGAGGCTGTGGTGAGATCAGACCCTGTGACATTTGGCTTGGAGAGCAGAGCCAGGAGGACATAGGCTGTCAACTCCACATCCACAGACAGTGGCTGTGACCAAGGGCTTGTGCTGGGTCTGGGCTTGGACGAGGTCTGACTCCAGTGGATCTGCCCACCTGGCAAAGGAAGGGAGAGATGACATTGCGGGATGTCAGGAAAGAAATCCTGAGGCCTAGGAGGCACAGTGGCTTGTGTCTGCAAAGACCACCGAGTAAGTACCTCTTGGCTGGGTCATCACGTCACTGGGTGAACTGCAATCCCATGTATTTCCCAATACCCAACACTCCATATTACTCACCAAGGTGATATACAAAAACTAATATGCCAATAATCTGCATACACAGTACCTCCCAGATGTCCAACTTCTCCACTGTCCTGTTTACCAGGTCCACTAACTACCTGATACTAGCTAGCTACCCACTAGACAGTTCTGGGGGTCAGGGACTAACAAGAAGCGGAGCAGCTTGCCTGCTTGCTTCCCTCTCTGGCGCTTTGCAGTCCTTCATAAGAAGGCCCACCTCTCTCAGAGCCCAATCTCCACTTTGGGTACCAGAAAAGGATGAGAAGTTTGAAGGACATCAGCATCCACACCACAGTATCGCCAGCACATACCCTGAGTTTGTAGACTGGCTGTCTAAAAACTCTCTTTGGTGAAGGACCTAAAGGGTAGGGCTATGGTCCTTCCAGGTTGCATGTTACCAAGGGCTCAGAAAGGTCACTTGTCCCTTCTCTGATGTTCGCCTGGCACTGAGGTTCCCGTACCTGCTCTGATTGCCTTTCGATCAAGCATATCAAGTAGCTCTTGCGTGCGTTGAGAGTCCTTAGCCAAGGCGAAGGTATAGGCCAGCAGGGCCAGGGTGTAAGTGCTGGCAGCTTTGGGAAGGGAAGGAGCGATGCAGCCCAGAGCCTTGCGCACCACTGTACTCTACAGAGAAGAGTTAATGGGTGTTGGTCACACACAAACACACGGGAGGCAGGCAAACACTGAGGTACACAAGCAGAAGGATGCATTAACGTATGCTGGCACAGAAAGCACCCCATACATTCCCTCAGGTGTCTCTGCTCGAGGTGCTCAAGCCTCTTCTCTTTGTATCAGTGCAGCACTAGTAAGCAGTGTCTCCAGCCCTTGGTGCAAGGTGCTTGACAGACTCCCCCTGAGCTGGTCATGGGTTTCAGCAGTGCGATGAAATGAATGCCTTACTGCTGGAATAACACAACCACAACTTACTTTCCAAGTCCGAACACAACAAGAGCAACAATGCACAATTGCAAATGCTTACACCCAGCCTGCTGACCAAGATTACTGTGTTCAATTCACCTCTACAGTGCCTTACGAGGTCACTGGGATTTCCAGTTTCCCCTGGAACACCAGTACTGCTGTTGGCAGGAGGCAGCAAACCCGCTGCTCTCACCAGCATTGTATTCCAGCATTCAGCTATGCTATTCCAAACATGAGCCAAAGGCTCACAGTGGTTGCCTGTCCCATATGTGTGCCTATACAGCACTTCATGGTTTCCCCTCTTCCAGTGGCCTCTTGGTTAAGTACAGTAAGGATCACACAAGGGCTACGTTTAACATTTATTCTGACATGTGACATGCTCCTCACCTCTTTCC